TGACAAAATTATAGAGTTGTAGGAGAAAGTTTTCTACCTGGAGAGTTCTTCTATTTTAGTTGTCTTGTCTATTCACAAGCCTATACTTAGCTAATAGCATCCTTGTCTAGGTTGTTAATCCTTTCCACAATGGTAGTTTAACTGTGCACAGAATTTATTAAAATTATAGCTTTGAGTGATACTGATTTGGAGGAGATTCGAGCTAATGATTTTTTTAAACATAAACTCTAATGCACATTATTTCTCATGCTAACATCTGTGGTGAGCAGCTCTACATAAAAAATCCCTAAGGGTTCCAGATAATCATGCCAGCTCTAACAACACAACATTAAAATGATTTCCTTATGTAAAATCTGGAAGAAGTCAGAGCCTCCAGATACTAGGCTTGTTTTTTGACATACATAGGTAACTATGATCATCTTCTAAGTTTATTTTGGATTCAGCAACTTTATTTCCATTTTTACAACCCTCTTATGTCACTAAATCTTCCCTACAATCTACAACTCTGACTCAGTGAACACCAGGTGAATCACAAGCTATACTTGTTTTATTTTTAGTGAATGAACCATAATCCTGAGGGAGTTGCAAATGCTCAAAAACAAAAAAAACCTTGTAAGGCCAAATAACATTGCTTTACACCATGGAGTGTCTCCCATTGCCTGAATCTTAATACATGTCAACAGAAGGGGCAGCATGATGCTTTCAGGAGAAACTGTGCCCTCTGCACTTTTCTGAGGCCTTTTTCACTGTGACAAAAAGCACAAATGGCAAAAGAAGAATACCACACTTATGAGCCAGGTGAGGAGTCTATCATACAACTTCATTTCTATTACTTAACAGGCTGTCTGTGAGATGCACGGGAGAAAAGACAACCAGAGTATCTCCTTTCCAGACAAAACAAACTCTCTTATCAGAGATGAGAAAACTGTGCTAAAATTATGCTAAATTAAAGCATGTCAGAAAACAGGTTCTAAACAGGACTCAAAAGCTATTTTTAAACTAAATGCCAGCTACTTACTCTGGTAGAAAGATTGCCAGTAATTAATTCTACTTTAGCTGTTTCTATTTGCTTTAGAGAACTGTATTTAATCTAGACTATGGTAAGAAGTGAATTATGAATTAAAGTTGAACTTAAAATATTACTGCACAATTCAAGTGTTTTCTTTCCTTCCAAATGAACTTCATATGGATGAAATAACATAATGTCAGGCTTTAGTTTTACATCACAGTGAATGTTTATTTATAGGTACCCTGAGAGAACTGGAGCTCAGTAAAAGGTTTTTCTTTACCTTGCGAAAGTATGTAACTTTCCTAACTAGTGGGCCTAATTAGTGATGGGACCTAACTCCCAAAAAGGACAGCCTCGATATCACCTCATGGCACTGCGGGATGAAAAAAAAAAAACATGACTCAGTAAAATTATCTTTAGTGTAATTCATTAAACAAACACAATGCTCAGAAGGAAATGGTCCATTTTTAATTTAACGGCATACTATGTCAGTAGCATTTCTCAAGTTATTGGTTGGATTCAAGGCTCATCTGCAAGATTCAATCAAACAGAAAAATTTTAGGCTGTAAATATTTATTATATATATCAGAAATAAGATATTTTCATATTTTTACCTGTATCATAGTGCCTTGCTACTCAAAGTGTGATTTGTAGACCAGTAGCTTTGGCTTTAGCTCTTAATAGAAGCTTGTTAAAAATGTAAAATCTTGGACCCCACCCCTACGACCTGAGTCTGAATTTGTATTTTAAACAGATGCCCAGGTGATTACTCTGCACGTTAAGGTTTTAGAGACACTGTCACAGTAGACTTCAAACTCTCTTCTAGCTCTTATCTTCCACAACCAGAACCCTATATGTCCATTTAGAGAACCAGAACACATTACTAATAAATGTGTTGTTGAGTCCTGCATTCTTTTTAAATTAACTGGAGTAAAAATTTTTATGAAGTTGTCAAATAATGAATAACTGATTGAAGTGGCAAGAATGAGGTTACGTGAAAACTGTAGTTGATCAGGGAAAACAAACCTGATGGATATGATATTCTTTCAGTGTTGTATTTGTGACGTTGCAAAAGGATGTTACTAAACAAGATCAAATGAAGCAGCTATAATGAAATCAAAGAAGCATATCAAGGACAAAGGCAAGAAGAAAATCATAATGACAAACACAAAGCTTCATTTGGAATAGGAAATAGAATTTTGTGCAGATTTTTGTGGAAATGACAACTGGATAGAAAGTTATGCGGTCGGTCTTACTAACATCCCTCACTTTTGTCATTCTGCCTCACCCTTCCTGTAGGTTGTAGGGCGAAACCCTTGTCCTATCTCTGGGCAAAGCTGATGCTAAACAACAACGTGCTCAAGCAATTGACCACTTTCAGGATTTTGCACAAATGTCTTTAATTCCTCTCTATACTATTGTCAGAGTGATTTTTTAAGGCATAAAAAATTACTTCCCAGATTAAATCTCTTCAGTGGTCCAAATCCCTCAGCAAGTACACAGATGCCTTTCTGAGAGGCTTATGACTTTCCAGGCTCATATCCTGCCGCTTTCACATACCCTACCACACAGCCATTCCACACTGCCAACTCAAATCACTGAGCCTTTACACTGTTTCTCCTTCCTCAGAAAGTCCTTGCTCAAACAGAAAAAGAGACTCCTATGTATAGAACAGACTTGTGGACTCTGGGAGAAGGCGAGGGTGGGATGTTTCAAGAGAACAGCATCGAAACACGTATATTATCTAGGGTGAAACAGTTCACCAGCCCAGGTTGGGTGCATGAGACAAGTGCTCGGGCCTGGTGCACTGGGAAGACCCAGAGGGATTGGGTGGAGAGGGAGGTGGGAGGGGGGACCGGGATGGGGAATACATGTAAAAATAAATAAATAAATAAATAAAATGATAAGATAAAAAAAAAAAAAGAAAGTCCTTGCTCTTGCTTTCCTCCAATCTGCTGGGTGCTCATCCTCCAGGTCTCAGGATACAGTGAATTACTCTTTCCTCTGTTTTACCAGTGTAGAGCACTTAATATGTTGTCCTCAAATTTATTGACATCTTTTTTTCCCCACTAGGCTAAGGTCCTTGAGCACAGAAAAGCCTTACTCATCTTTGTAACCCCAGTGCCCAGTACACTGCACTAGGTGCATTTCTCCATTCCTGGGTCCTCTAGTTTGAAGGGAGCTTGGTGTGGCTTCTTTTAAAGAAACACCTAAATGTCCACTGAAAGATGAATGAATAAAGAAAATGTGGTGTATATATATATAACTCAGCCAAAATTGATAGACGAATGAATAAAGAAAATGTGGTGTATACATATACATAAATAAATAAATAAATATACATATATATATACATATATATATATATGTATATATATAAAGGAATATTACTCACTCAGCCAAAAAAAAGAAGAATGAAATAGTGCCATTTGCAGCAACTTAGATGGACCAAGAGATTATCATACTCAGTGAAGTAAGTAAGTCAAAGACAAATATCATATATCACTTATAAGTAGAATCTCAAAAAATAATACAAATGAACATATATACAAAATAGAAACAGACTCATAGAAATAGAAAACAAACTTATGGTTACCAAAAGGGAAGGAGGGAAAGGGAAGGAGGGAAAGGGAGGGAGGGAGGGAAGCACAAATTAGGAGTTTGGGATTAACAGATAAACACAACTATATACAAGGGCTTCCCTGGTGGCTCAGATGGTAAAGCGTCTGCTTACAATGTGGGAGGACTGGGTTCAATCCCTGGGTCAGGAAGATCTCCCGGAGAAGGAAATGGCAACCCACTCCAGCATTCTTGCCTGGAAAATCCCATGGACAGAGAAGCCTGGTAGGCTACAGTCCATGGGGTCACAAAAAGTTGGACACAACTGAGTGACTTCACTTCTTTACTTTACTATATACAAAATAGATAAACAAGAACCTATTGAACAGCACAGGGAACTCTATTAAATATCTTGTAATAACCTATAATAGAAAAGAATCTGAAAAAGAGTATATATATTATACATATATATACATGGCTGAATCACTTTCCATGCCCTAAATACTATAAATCAACTATATTTCAATTAAAAAAAAACAACATAGTAGTTAGGAGAATAGGCTCTGGATCAAACTGTCTAGGCTTGTGTACGTGTGTTAGTGGCTCAGCCGTGTCCGACTCTTTGCGGCCCCATGGACTGTAGCCTGCCAGGTTCCTCTGTCCATGGAACAAGAATATTGGAGTGGGTTGCCATTTCCTTCTCCGTGTCTAGGTTTAAACCTAGGCAATTTATCTTGGGCTGTGTATATGCTTAGTTATCTTTAAGCCTCAGTTCCCCAATCTCTAAAATGAGACTAATAAAAACATCTAATCCCATTACTGAGGTAGGGGGAGGTAAATGAAACAAAATATAAAAATACAAATAGGGCATTTAATGTTTGTCAAATGAATGAATATATATTCTTCAATTAAAATGTTTAAACATCACAATGTATTTTCCATTTCGGTTTGAACAACTTGATTCTAAATTTGACTATATCTGTGAATGAGGGTCTTTGTAATTTTTTGATACAAGTGCCACTGTCTCATGCAAAGACTAGATTTGAAAAAGCAGCAATTTTTGATGTTGGTGCAATTGAGAAATTGAAAGAGAATGCTTGCCATCTAGTGGAAACCTATTAAACTGCAGTGCTGCTTCTGACTTCTGGCAAATTTTTGGTTTCAAGTGAATTGTTCATTTTACATCTTTTGTGAGAAACTTCCTTCATATAATTTCTCGTATAGATTTATAGGGGGAAAAGGCTCTGTGGTAGAACAAAATAATGATCATCATCATCAATATCAAGTTACCCTTTGATCAGACAGGATCTGCTTTATAAGATAACATATATATATATTATAGTATTTTTTTTTTATTTTCACTACAAAATAATTTATTAAAGCACAGCTTCAGCCTCCTATATACAAGTGCACATACTCCTGACTACCCTAACTAGGGGACCCTTTTCTTCTCCCTTGCCTTGCGAACCTCTTTTATCAGATCTTTAAGATACTGGATCTCCTTGGCCAAGGAATCTGCCTTCTCTTTCAGAGCCTCATTCTTCTTTTCTAGCTCGTTGCATTCACCAGCAAGAGCCTCCTGTTCTGCCCCGTTCTTCTGGTGGTACCTAGTGGCTGCTGTCTTGTTCTGCTCCATTTTCTGCAGCTTCTCGTCTAGCTTCTCATCCTTTACTTTTGCTGCTACCATCTTCTCTCCAGGAGGGTCGTAGGGTTTGGGGCAGGAAGAGCCACCGAGGGCACCTGGAGATAGCAGGCTCTTATTTGGAGAGCCCCTGGAGGTGGAGGGGCTATGCTGGGGAGAGCCCAGCGAGGAGTCAGGGCTCATACAGATGCCACTATCATTATCTGAGGGGGCATCCTCCTCCTTTATGCACTGAGGGATCACAGTACTGCAAGTGGTGGAGTCTGGCTTGCTATCTCCTTCAGAGATAACCACTTCACTGCATAGCTCTAAACTAAAGGAATGATCTGAAGTGGAAGACAGGGCCCCTGGGGAAGGGGGAAGAGGTTGCAAGAAAGTGAATGGGGCACCCTGGTCAATTGTTGGTAAACTTTCTGGAAGATGGCCAATTGGGTTCACTATCTGGGGGGGCTCCTTATTAGTCTCCTGGAGTAGGGGATCAAAGAGACCACACGTGTCATCCAACATGGCCAAGAGCTCATCTGGCATGGATTCCAGGTCATCTATACTCAACAGGGTATCATTAAAATCAAACTCCCACAAATCCATTTTCTCCACCATCCAATCTGTCCCAGAGAAAGCATCCTCCTTGCTGTTGTCTGAGAAACTGACCAACCCATCCACAGCCAGCCATTCGGAAGAGCTTGCCTTAGCCTTGTTGCAGAAGAACCCATGAGGTTTGAAGTGCTTGGCCCCCTCCAGGTAGTCATCTAGGAGACCTAAGCTGTATTATAGTATTTTTAAGTCAGACTTGAAAGAAAATCCCAGAAAATAACAAATAATAGAAAAGAAACATACTTGCTTAAGGAGTTACCAGCATTTCTTCCACAGTACCCACACAGAAGAGTCAAGAATATAAGTAGATTCTTGCTCCCATGTTTCTATCTGGTTTTAAGGTCCAGTTTTTCTGTAAGTAGTCTCCATTCTTTCTTTCTGTAATTTTTTGTGAATGAAGTTTCAACCTATTTTGTCTTTCAAGGAATCATTTCCTTTTACCACCAAAAAACACCCAAAACAATTTTCTTTTTTCTTAACAGAGTGTTATGTTTAGTAAGTATTTCTTGGGTTGAGTTCAGTATTACTTCTTTAATCACTATAGAGATAAAACACTGAAGTAGCCAGGTCTCATGAAACTAACTCACATCTCAAGAAACAAATTACACTGGTAGGCTCACGAGCTGTGGCAATGATGTACAGTTCTTGCCATCAGAAAGGTAACTAACCTACATGTTGAATAAGGTTCCTTCTCTCTAAAAATGAAGAAACTTGACAAAATATGGGTGATAATTCTTAAAAGAGGCAAGTAAGTGGATTCCATAAAATTATTTGAAAGGTTAATAGTTTTAAGACATAATGAGACAGGAGCTATGATTAGGATGGGGGGAAAGGTGCTACTGAGACAGAGAGAAATGTATTTGTGTGAAGAATAGACAATGGTTCCCAGGATGTTGTATCTTTCAACGTGAACTTTCAGTGAGGCTACTTTTTATTTTATCTATATTCTTAGCTGCTTATCCATAAACCAAACTTAAATTTTTTAGTTACCCTTCAGGTATTCATAGAAAATCCCCCAAAGAATCATAAGCATGTGATAAAGGAAGGGCAGTGATATCACCATGCCATGGGGTCTATAACACCTGCTCATGAAGCTTGTTTATGCTATCTGGTCATGTTTGTGCTTGCTCCCAAATATACCACTTCCATCTTGCAACATACTGTGGCTGGGCCTATATGACCTTATCATTTGAGAAGTCTGAAAGGACTCAGTTCTAGATAGAAAGTCATCTGATGATCCATGGCCAGGTATCCTGCCTTCACCAGGGACCAGGGGCATATCAAAAGGCACATACTTCATGGAAAATGGCATGGCCTCACTCCCGAACTCAGAGTTTACATTATGATTTGCCCACTGAGGCCTGCCGCAAACTTCATGCAGCATCTTTTCTTACCAATACTTTTTTTTTTAGTCTGCCCAACTGTATGAGCTAAGTGGTACCATGGCCTGAGCTCTGTCTTCTCTAGATCCCATTTAGAAGTCGTCAACCTTTTATGCTTATGGGCAGGAGAAGCATTCTGAGCTATAGAATTATGCTTCCCCCAGAATTCAAGCACCCACCACTTATTGCGCCTTTTAACTTAAAGATACAATAATTCCTTTTTTACTTTAGAAGAGAGATCTAGGCATACCACTGATCAGTTGATCTCTAACGTATTTACAGATGTGGCAGACACTTGACTTTTCATAGGATTTGTCAGCCGCATTCCTGCACCATGTCTTACCAATACCTCCACAGTACTCTCTTGCAAATTCAACCCAATCAACATAATGTTATCAAAGTAACTAATTAAAGTTATATACTGCAAAATGTCAAAATGGCCATATCTTCTCAGACTATATTATGACAGAAGGCAAGAGACTTAAAAACAGCCCTGCACAAACCTATAAATGGATATTATTATCCATTCCATATGAATATAAACTGGTTTTTTTTTTCTGGGTAAAAGGAAATATTTTGGAGATCAACTTTCTCCTACGACTGAATGGATGTTTCTTAGTTCTGTATCTCATTACCCTGGCCAAGTTGCCATTAATTCTGTGTTATTAAGTCTGGTGTGTGTGTAACACACTTGCTAATACTTTTGCTGCTGTTCAGTTGCTAAGTCATGTCCAATTCCTTGTGACCCCAAGCACTACAGCATGCCAGGCTTCCCTGTCCTTTACTATCTCCTGGAGTTTGCTCAAACTCATGTCCATTGAGTCAGTGATGCCATCCAACCATCTCATCCTCTGTTGCCCCCTTCTCCTCTCACCCTCAATCTTTCCCAGCATCAGGGTCTTCTCCAAAATGTCGGCTTTACACATCAGCTAGCCAAAGTATTAGAGCTTCAGCTTCAGCATCAGTCCTTCCAATGAATATTCAGGGCTGATTTCCTTTAGGATGGACTGGTTTGATTTCCTTGCTGTCCAAGAGACTCTCAAGAGTCTTCTCCAGCACCACAATTCGAGAGCATCAATTCTTCAGCATTCAGCCTTCTTGATGGTCCAACTCTCACATCCATACATGACTACTGGAAAAACCATAGCTTTGACTACACAGACCTTTGTCAGCAAAGTGATGTCTCTGTTGTCTAGGTTTGTCATAGCTTTTGCTAATATTACTCAGACCCAATTATCATTCAAAATATGCCAGTTAATCATAAGAGGGACCATCTGAGATTAGTAATAAAATAGGTCAAATGTATAACTACCAGAGGGCTCCCCTGGTGGCTCAGCTGGTAAAGAATCTGCCTGCAATGTGGGAGACCTGGGTTCAATCCCTGGGTTGGGAAGATCCCCTGGATAAGGGAAAGTCTACCTCCTCCAGTATTGTGGCCTGGAGAATTCCATGGACTGTATAGTCCATGGGGTCGCAAAGAGTTGGACACAACTGAGTGACTTTAACTCACTCATAACTAACAGAAGAAAACTGAAAAATTTCCTCTACTGCAATCATTATTACCATGAGATATTAAGATCTTGAGACTAGCAAAGAAATATTTCAAGTCAAAGCATGACTTAGGGACTTCCCTGGTGGTCCAGTGGTTAAGCGTCCGCCTGCCAACACAGGTGCCCAGGCTCAATCCCTCTTCAAGGAACGAGACCCCACAGTCCACAGCTAAGAGTTTGGATGCTGCAACTAAACATCGTGCATGCTGCAACCAAAAACGAAAAAATTCTGCATGCCACAACCAGAGAGCCAAAGTGCTGCAACTAAGACCTGACGCAGCCAAATACATAAATATTTAAAAAAAAGAAAAGAGTTGATGACAGTAATGCTATACAATGCTCAATTTTTTCATTTGCTGGTTAGACATGTACCAAAGATGAAGTGAGAATAAAATGCACAATTTAAAACAATATTTTTCTTTTAATTTTATGTATATGTTAGGTGAAGGATTTTATGACCTGAAAAAGTCAAAATTGTCTTTTTTAGTAATGCATGAACAAAATGAATCTAAAATACAAGGTCTATCCTTTAGAAAATCATGGAATTATAGTTGAAAAGGAACTCAAGTTACTTGGTGCATATACCATTCTGATATTTTACCCTCATGATATTATAGTTTCTCCAAGTAATCATTGGCCTATATTTGAACCTATGTGAGAACTTAATGTTTCTTAAGGTAGTGCACTCCATTCTTTGAAAATTCTGACTGTTAACATTTTCTTACATTTAGCCAATGTCTCTCTGTAGCTTCCATTTACTAGTTCCAGTTCCAATCCAAGGAACCGTGCATAGCCTTGCATGCATGTGTGCTGAGTTGATTCAGTCATGTCCGACTCTTTGTGACGCTATGGACTGCAGTCTGCCAAGCTCCTCTGTTCATGGGATTCTCTAGGCAAAAATATTGGAGTGGGTTGCCATGCTCTCCTCCAGGGGATCTTCTGGACCCAGGGATTGAATGTGTGTTTCTTAAGTCTCCTACACTGGCAAGTGGGTTCTTTACCACTAGCGCCACCTGGGAAGCACCTGGTATTTAGGATAATGTTGCCAAACATATGCGGGCTTTTCCCTTCAGCTTTATTGAGATTTTTATTTGACAAAAGCACTATATAAGTTTAAGGTATACAGCACAATGATTTGACTTATATCATAAGTTTAGTGAATATCCATCACTTAATACAGATACAAAATAAAATAAAATATACTTTTCTTATGATGAAAACTCTTAGGATTTACTCTCTTAATAACTCTCATATGCAACACAGATCAGTGTTTATTAAATTAATCATGTTGTACATTATATTCCTAGTACTTGTTTATCTTATAACTGGAAGTTTTTACCTTTTGACCATCTTCAAAACTCCCTCTCTCCCTACCCCCATTTATGGTAAGCACAAATTTTATTTGTTTTTCTGTAAGTTGTTTGTATTTTGAAGTATAACTGACCTACAACAGTATGCTAGTTCCTTGTATACAACATAGTGATTAGATACATGACAAAACGATCACTATGATAAATCATTACCATCTGTTAACCTATGAAAATATTACATTATTATTGACTGTTATTATTTTCCATGCTGTACATTACATTCTTTGTCAGGAAGCATTTAACAAGAGGCTTCCTGTGTGCTGTTTTGGATCTGTCAGGAACCCTCTGGCCTTTATTGATTCCTGAATATTCAGGAATTAAGAGGAGAGGCGCGCCTTTCCTGGGGCTGAGGAATCCAGGCATTTCTCATTACAGTGATAAGTACCCTCTTCCTTATTATGAGCCAAATGGTAAAAGATGATTGTTTGCACCTCTCTCTCTTTGATAGAGATCATCTTATGTTTTGTAAGTCTGGAATTTTAATCTTTATCTTTGCTGAGAATTACTGCAGTATATATGCCCACGCCGTGTTGATTAAAACACCTTTGCTCCATCAGAGCTTTGGTCCCCGTGTCTTTCTTTCTTTCCTTCTTTCTATTCCTTCTCCCTCTCTCTCTAGTTGTGGCTAATTCCTTGGAGCGCGAGGCCCGCTGAGCTCCCTTTCTTGCCCGGGCTTCTGAGACCCTCTCGAGAAGGCGCACTGC